ACACCTATTTCACGGCATATAGCTTCTGCTGTATTCTTGTTATCTCCAGTAATTACCATAACACGAATACCAGCTGCTTTACAGTCCTCAATTGCCTGATGGACCTCTTCACGTGGAGGGTCCTGCAAATATTTAATTGGTACCACCAAACAGAATTAGTTGACAAGAGAAAAATATTAAATATAATTAAAAGCATTGTAAGTAAAGGCATTGATGGAAACATTGCAACTCACCCTCAGTCCAACCAATCCAACAAAAGTGAGATTGCTCTCAATTGATGAATAGTTGGATGGGTCAAGTAATAGGTCATGAGCCGGATGATCATCCTTTCCATCATAGGTTTCAAACTCAGGGAGCTCATCCTTGTATGCAAAACCCAAGCAGCGTAATGCACCACTTGACATATCTTGAAGAGCTTTGGAAACAAGGTTCCTTGAATTCTGATCCAGTGTTACAACAGAACCATCAAGCAACTGCATCTTTGAGCTTCTCTCCAGTAAGTTTTCTACAGCTCCCTGCCAAAGTATGTAATTCACATTAGAGGCTTACAGCAAAAGAGAAATGAACATGGAGGTTAAAGCTAAAGCAGATGTAAGAAAAAAATTCCATAAACATAAACAATGCAGATGTTAAACAACGGCAACAAGTGTCATTCATCCTTCAAAACACTATCATGCACATTATTTTTTAACATAAAAGACGAAAAACATTCAAATGTCTAAAGAGGAAAAAGAGACATATGAGCAGAGCAAGGCTATCTGCAAATCAACGCAAGCATTTACTAGTGGATCACAAGATAATCAAGCTACCTAAAGACAAAATATTTGGCTTTTATGTAAGAAAATTACATGAGAGAGATAGATAGCACCTTAACAAACAATGACCTTCTTCCTGATTTGGAATTCACAATAACACCCATGGACTTCCTATTACGATCGAACTCAAGGGTTGCAATCCGTCGCTCATACTCATTCCACCATTGGCAACAACCTTTAGAGCACATTATATAAAATGTCTAAGTTCACATGTCTAAATGCTAGACAGGAAATAACAAAAGTATAAATAATGTATATGAATATCCAACATACGTAGAACATCACTGCCAGCAGATCCACCACTATGTCCTTTTGGGAGGCCCATCTTCTCAACAAGAACCTATAGCAACAAGGAATAGAGATGAATCAGAGATTAAAGTCACTATAATGTCTTCTTCAGAGAAGTTATAGATTAAAAAAATATACATCAACTCCATTAGTAAAAGCTTCACTGAACATTGACTCACACTCTAAACGTAATAATCACAGTTTGTAAAGACGTTAAGAAAGCAACCAAGAGTAAGAGAGTAGCTAACCTTTATCGCTGCCTCAGTAGGCATTCCATGAGCTACAAACTTATGATCAGAATGCGTTACACCAGCATCATTACATATAGCAGCAATCTTCGCGATCATTTCAAGATTAGAATCCATTCCACCATTCGGCCAATCATGTATTTTCCCATCAGAAGGATTATACGTAGTCCCATCAACCCTAAAACTCCTTAACCTACTCGCTTCACCTCCCATAGCCACAAGCTTAGCCACTGCCATCTGATTGGTAGTCAAGGTCCCTGTTTTATCAGAGCAAATCACAGTAGTACAGCCCAATGTCTCAACACTCGGTAACTTTCTCACCAGCGCATTCTTTTGAGCCATTTTTCGTGTACCAAGTGCCAAACAAGTAGTTATAACTGCCGGTAACCCTTCAGGAATGGCAGCAACAGCCAATGCCACCGCAATTTCAAAATAATACGTACATTTCTCAAACGAAAACTTAAAATGCCTTGGCCAACCATCAATATATTCCCAACTGAGAAAATATTTAACATTAATTAACCAAACAAACACACAAATTACCCCAATTATCATAGTTAAAACCTCTCCGAACTCGTTCAACTTCTTCTTTAATGGGGTATCTTCTTCATTCTGCGCCGCCACATGGATTTGAGTGTGAACTTTACCGATCTCCATTTCCATCCCAATTTGCGTAACTAAACAGAAACAATTTCCGTTAACCACCGTTGTTCCCGCAAAAACCATGCTTCTTTTCCCTTGAATATCGGCATCTTCGCTAACTAACTTGTTGGTTTTGTTAACTGCCTCGCTTTCTCCCGTTAACGAACCTTGCTCGACTCTCAAAGTTGAACTAACTAACTCCAAAACCCTCATGTCGGCGGGGACTTTATCCCCTACTTTCAGTTCCACGATATCACCAGGAACAAGCTCTTTAGCAGGCAAATTAGGGATTTTAACTCCATCTCGAATCACTGTGGCTTGCTCCGATTGGATCTCTTTCAAAGCCTCCAATGCTTTCTCCGCGTTACTCTCTTGCCAAACACCGACAATCGCGTTTACGATCAAGATCAAAAAAATTACCAAAGGTTCAACGAACGCGGTAATTTCCATTTCACCGCCTTCTTCACCATCGTACCAAGCGAGTACAAAAGAAATCACTGCCGCCACGAGTAAGATTCGAACTAACGTGTCGTTAAACTGTTCTAGGATTAAACTCCATATTGATTGCCCTTCGTGCTTCTCCAACTCATTGTAGCCGTAGATCTTGCGCTGATTTTCGACTTCTGCTGATGATAATCCCGATTTCCTGTTAACTCGGTAACGCTTCTCGCATTCTTCGATATCTTTGGCCCAAGCGGGGAATACATCTGAATCGGCTGGATTGGATGTGATAATTTCTCGTTTTCCATAATCTTCTCCTCCTTTTCCCATGTTTCGATCAGTTACGTAGATCGAATTTGAGAAACCCTAGGTTGCGACGACGATTAAGGTGTTTGGTTATCGAGAAAAGGGTGAGGAATTGGGACAGAAAACTTCAATGATTAATTGATTTTGCTTCGCTCGCATCGAGGTTTCGTGCTGCTCCCACAGTTCCTCTCGCTCTCTCTCTCTTGCGTATCTGCTTTTCGCACGTCTCTCGCTCTCTTTCAATATATGATTATCGCATAATCCATTTCTTGTGATCGACGAAATTTGCCCGTATTATCGACAGTTTTGGTTTGGTGAAAACGTGACATCTGTTCAGTTTGTGACAGCTGGCAAAATATGGAAAATTTTAATTATTTTTATTTGGCAGCTTTCAGTTGGACAGTTTTAATGTAAGTATACTATCGGCGATGGATGTCGTTTCATTTTATTTCCTTCCTTTGTTTTTTTGCTTTTTTTTGTTGGCCTGCGGGGTAGATAATTAAATTAAATCATATTAATTATATATATTTTAAATTGTTAAATATAGTGTGATGGAAGAAAAAAAGTCACGAAAGGGAAGCTTCAAGACAGTAGCGTAAGAAGCTTAAATACTAGTGTTTGAAGCAATGGTCAAAGTAAAAAACATTAAAAAAATACCAAAGCCGCCGTAGAAAGATGCCATACATCTCTTTGTAAGAGGAGAAATTATCATTTTGTTTTTCTTCACTTTTGATCTTTAAAAGACTTGTGTTTTGGAATTGTATCTATGGCCATCTTTGAGTTTGACCCTTTGTATTTGTAAGGAAGAAACTTAGGGCAAAATTGGGCATGTATTTTATCTGGGAAATTCATTGCATCCAATTTAAAAAGCATGCTAACCCCACCATTTATTTTGTTTCTTAACACAGTTTTTGTCACTTTCAATGGTTCATGGATATTTATTTGTCAAGCTTTGTAGCTTTATTTTTCATTAAAAATGAAAATTCTTCATGTTTTTCAAATTAGGTATAGTTTTTTCCTTGGCATAACCATTATCTTGGCTCTCAAAATTTGATCACCAATCTTTGATATGGATCATTTAAATTTTTTAATCACTTAATTTGAGTTAAATTGATCTGATTTTAATGAAAAAAGTTCATATAATATCACATGATTAATGATGTTTTTAGTATCACTTGACCATAACAATGTTATATGGCAGATGATGTGACAATTCAACAAAAACTTATATTGCATTTCCCTGCCCTTTTCTCTTTATAATATCTCCCTAAAACTTTAAAAATTCAAAAAATAATCATTTATTTATCTAGAATCCGATGCCGTACCACTTTCAAGCTCCTCCTAACCTTCTCTTGAACCATTTTTGTTTTATTATTATATTTTTATTTAAAAGGAAAAAAACCTTTTGAAAAGCCTAGATCTAACTTACCAAATCTACCACCACTTCTTTTAGAAAGATATAATTTTAGAAACTAAAATTAGAAAGTTAGGGTTGAATAAAATTAAAATGCAACATATCTTAAGCTGGGATGCTTTTGCGGGGTCATCAAAGCATTGTTCTGAACATCTATTTGATCATTGATGGTATGGCCCCATTAGTTACATTTTGTTGGATTTATTTTGGGCTTACTTCCAGGGAAAAATTTTGGACTTAGACTTGGGCTTAAACTTTTAGAAATTCAGGCTTTCTCTAACAGGCCTCACGTCAGCATCTTTGCCATGTTTGCTTGTAGCAATAAGGTCCATTCTGTTTGTCTAAAGTGAAATGGGCCCAATGGCAAATGGCTTGAAGCAATTCTCCAAGCTGTATCTAGTATGAAATGATATTTCTTTCTTGAAAAAATTCTTTTCATTTGCACAAACAAAAAAAAAAAAAAAAAACGACTACAAACACATTGATCCACCTCTTGTTCATGCAAAGACCATAACAAGCAAGCCTTGTACCAGAATTGGAATAAATTCCAAACTCCATCACACGGCAGAAACTTTTATAACCCCATGTTTGAGTACACAGCAAAAGGATAGAATATAATATGGTTGGAAGATGTAGAATGCATAATTAATTAAGAAAACATGATATGTTAATGGATAACCATTGTTATGTATATAATTGTGGGAAAGTTCTTGTAGTTATGAATATGAAACAGACTAATCAAGAAATTAGGGTTGATTTCAACATCAAAAGCAACTCTCCAATGCGAATGAATCAAACTGTTAAAAAGTTTTAATGAATACTTGGAAACCAAGGTCATATCTTTATTTATTTATTTCGCAGCTATGAATTTTTAGTTGACTTAGCTAAGCCCTTTTTTCGGTTTTACATCTTTAGCCCCCCAAGACCAGTTTGAAACTCCGACTTATACTCCAAGATCTACTTCATGTTGGCCCATTTTGGTCAATGAAATAACATCATTAGCCTGTTCACTCTCTGCCTAACGGCACGTCATTGAAAGAAAAACCTTCGGTGCTGCTGATTATGTTAAATCAAGGCATGAATAAATCCTACCTAGAACCAACCCCGTTTTCCCCCGTCATCTCTCTCGCTTTCCTATTTTTCTTGCTTTCCATTATAGTGTATCTTTTCTCGCAATTCAAGCTTTGTTCAAGTTTATATAATTCCGAAAACCCAGTTTCATAAATTTGATCAAACTCTGCCCTCATCCCACCCCCCAAGAAAAAACGCAAAAAAAAAAAAGGAAAAGTATTTTGAAAGAATGAGTTCCGTTTGTATTTCTAGTTGTTTGGCTGATGCTGGAGACCCCAGGATACCTGTCAGGGCAACCTATGTGAATCTTTACAAGTGGCCACAGTCGGATGCAGAGTTTGTGAGGTCGAGGAGCAGAGGCCCCATGCATGGCCAAGTCCAACCTGCTAGAGTTATTGACAGTATCTCCGGCAGGCAGATGTATCTGAGGAGCTATAGGTTTTCCAGGAAAGAAACTGTGGCTGAAAAGACTGTGAAATGCTTTGGGAGAGTTAAAGAGAAGGTGGGGACTCATGGAAAGAGGTGGACCAGCCAAAAGAGACGTTTTAGAAGGAAGGGTTTGGTTTGGAGGAAAGTGAAGGTCGTGCTGTTTAGGTTTTTCAAAAGGTTGCTTTCTTGCTCTGCTAGTGTAGATATGGTGTATCAAAGGAACGTTTTCTTCTGAACTTTTTTTGGGTGATTATTTGATTTTGTTTTCTTCTGTAGTTGGAATTTCTGTTAAAAAACTTCCTGCACTAAAATTCTTTTTGCCCACCCACCTTCAAAAGAATGCCTTTTACACAAGTAGAGTATTTTACCAAGCTGTTAGTTGTAATCATGTGATAGTATATATTCATCCAAGCTATAGAGTATATGGTTTCTGATGGGAGATTAAGAATAGCTTGAGCTGGTTGGATAGGAGTATGGTTGCATTAATCATTAAGGTTTTTTTAACACGACAAAGAGGAAAAAAACCCTTGTCTTAGTCATTAAGACTTAAATTAAGCGACAAAGGTGGGGTTGAAGTTTGAGCGGAGATTGTAAATTCGAGTCAAAAACTCAAAACTGTTACTTGTCTGAAGTAAATGAGAGATTGAGTTCATCACTTCTCTGGGGGCCTGAGCCATAGCTTCAGTTTCCAAGCCCACAATCCTCCCCGGGCCTCTCGTCTAGGGAGGACTCTGTTTCCAACTACATGTTTTACGACAAACTCACTCGAGGGAAAGACCGTTTAACAAACACGACCATGAAGCAATTAAAATTCGTACAAACCATTGGGAGATCATGGAACTTGGAAGGAACTCATCACACTGAAGCTGGGAACTAAATACTTGAGCATTTACAATACTTTCTCTTAATTTCTTGCTTTATTTTAGGCACACAATTAATTAAACACGTTTAGGCAATTAACAGGGGCATAAATTAGATGGTCACTTTCTTGTTTCGACGTATGGCTCAAGTTTGACCACAAATGGACATAAGTTTCCACACTAAGCACTAATATGCCTGTATCTGCCAATAAGAACGAACAAAAACAGAAGGCATGGATCATTCAAAATGCTGAATAAGTCCAATTTGAAAAATGTAAGGAAAAAAAAAACACAAAAACAACAAAATTCGAGGTCAATTGACTTACATATCCACCAAAATGCACTACAAACATAGACTATCTACAATAAAAGACTATTCAAAGAGCTCACTCCAGAGAACTTCACAAATCTGCATTATCTTGGTAGTGAAAACACCTCTAGCTATAATCAGCCAGCATCAAACCAAGTTCGTTTTTCAATCAAATATTTCATTTAATGCAGAAAAATATGTGTTCTACCGCCCAACACTTCAATATAATTCACAAAAGAAAATGTCTAGCATTGCAGAACAGAATAAACTTAACTTCTTGTTTCTAAAATTCAACCTGCCAAGAAAAGTTCATGCATATTTCTCAGTGCCATCTTACAAGAGTAGTGACAAAATCTTCCTTTTTTACCATTTACATCAGTATCCAAGAGGATTTCAGACAGTTCAAAAAACAGAGGAAGGGCTATCAACCATTAAAGTTTCAGACAGCCAACCAAGAAGAACATACCCAAAAAGCACAACCATAAAAAAGGAAAACAGCATGATATTATAAAGAATATCATCAGAAAGACCAATATGAATAGCATGTGATACACAAAATAATTCCATTGACAACCAAATGGAAAGCAAAAATTGGGCATTCCTAGACTCCAATTTGACTGATGGAAGCCAAATGGAAAGCAGTTAATGGAAAACGCAAATACCCATTTTAACCGCTAACCACGTTGGATGATCCTGATCATCCAGTCAATCCCACATAAATTCTCCCGCCCTCTATCCACAGTCCATTTTATAAAATTGAATAAAGCTAGATCAAATTTCACAAAAGCTGCTTGTGATTTTCTAACAGAAAAGTTGCACATGATTTACTAGTAGAGACTCAAAGGTCATTTGTTTTATAACAACGTAATAAAGGTCATTCATCTCAACTCCACTGCCTAATTAGGAATCATAGGAAAAATTAAACAGACTATAGTGCAAAATTCATTATGAGTTTCATAACGTAAGAATTTCATTAAGCAGAAATACAGTAACTAATGGAAACATATTCAAGTTCTTGTAACAAGTTAAACAAAATGAAAACAGTAAAGAGAAATGCAGCAGCAGTTCCAGACCTGATGCAGCAATTTGTATCCGTAAAATTCACTAAAAATAAACCTGCAAACTACTCACAATTTGCATTAAAAGTAAAATCCAAAGTACCCTTTATATCAATTCTCTTTTAAAGAGCTCCCATTTTCTCAAAGCTCGAATTCTTCATCTCTAAGAGCGAGCTCAGCAGCCTCTTCATCTTCCTCATCAAGAATAAAGTACTCATTTTTCTCCACGGGCCTAAACATATAAAAGATCACCAAATAAAAAGCCAAACTCGCGGTCTCCTCAGCTGCATTGCTAACCCACTGATACTTGTACGCTGCGATCGTCCTCAAAGCAAACACCACAATTCTTGTAAAATACAAATAACCAATCACCACAATATAAAACTGTCTAAACAGAGTCAGCTTGGCCAAATTCCTCGCTGCCTTCCCATCAGTTTTGGAAGTTTCTCTCAATGAACGAATCGACCAAACAATTGGGAAAATAATCGCGCAACAGCAGATGATATCAACCAGCAAGAACACCTGATTCCACGTCACCCAATCTTTGATAAACGGCCCGGTTTCTCCGATTACAACCGAAGCAATATTAGCTAAAACTTGAAGCGGAATCACGATCATCAAAACTTTCTTTTCCCTTTCTTGTAAAAAGGGTTTTAAAAACGACCAACCGGTACCAATCAAAACGATGACGGTGAAAAGCAAAACGACACGAATAAATTGAAAAATGTAGAACAAAACATCCCAACCGTGAGGAGTTCCGGTAACTTTAACAAAATGTTTGTCTTCGGCGGCGCAGATCAGGTTCAAAGCTTTGAATAAAAGCAATCCGGCCATTAATAAATGGATCCGGTGCACGGATCGTTTGTTAGTATAACAAACATAGATCCAATAGGCTACGTAGCCTAAGTAGAGGATTGAGAAGAAGGTGTAAAGAGAAGGGAGCTGGGTTAGACCGGCGGAGAGGTAATCTTTGGAGCCATCGCGGTCAAGGTTGTAGATTTCGGTTCGGACTTTCATGGAAACGCGCGTCCCGGGAGCGCAGTTGGAAAAAAAGAGAGAGTATTCATTGGGGGAAGAAACGGGGTAAGAGCGGTTGAAAAGGGAGAGGGGAGGTGGGGAGAGGTCGCTGAAAGTGAACAGGTGTTGGATGTAGTGAGAATCGAGAACGCAAAAGTGAGGGTTCTGTTGGATCTCGAGGAGGACTTGGAGGAGAGATTCTTCGGATAAGAGGAAGAAACCGAGGCGGGTAGCATCGGGGTTGGGGGCGTTGAGGGATGCAGAGACCGAGACCGAGGAAACGGCTATGGCCACGTGGCCGGTGTGAGTGAAGCCGAATTTTTCGAAGAGGATCATGGGGCGCGAGTCGGAGTTGATAGTTAGGGTTTTGATCTCCGCGGTGGTGGAGGAGAGGATGGAGAGGAAGAAGAAGAGGATTAAGGGTATTTTTGACATTTTCTGAGAACTAACTGCGGCGGTTGGGACGGTCGGCATGGTGGTTACGGTGGTCCGGAAGGGAAATAGGGCGAGTGGTTGAATTTAAAATGGGACGGGCATCGGCTTTCCGGATCTGGCTGTAGTTGTGATGTTTTTATCATAAATTCAGATCTTGGATTTCAACTTTTCAAGGCAATGTAAATACGACGTCGGTTCTTACTCACAAAAAATGGGCCTCAATGTTTGATTAGAACAGCAGGTGAGTTTGGGTCAGTCCAATAATGGGCTCAGATTTATGAGTTGGCAAAAACTGGTCCAACCCACATTCGTTTTAGTCTAACATTTGGACTGGCACAAACTCTAATATTTGATAAAATGGGTTGGGTGTTGACCACAAGAGAAGTGTTGTTACATGGGCCTACATTTGGACTGAGTAACTTAACCCGATATTTTTTCAAAATATTAGCCATAGATCTATGGACACGTGTACACAATACGCGACTTAAAATTAGGGGTACACGATTCTATAAATTAGGCTTCATGGTCCCATTAGTCCTATAACCATCAAGCGGTCATCTCATCTAAAGATGACGCGTGGATGTGCAAATCTATCGGTTTAACGGTCGTTTTTCCTTTCCCTCCCTCTTCTGTTTTCTGGTTTTTTCTTGTTTTCCAAGAAAGTTTTCTTCTGTCGGAAACCCTAAAAATCATTCAAAAATTCTATTTTTTTTAACTAAAGTCCGTTTAGATTTCTCATGGTTTTTCATAGGTCGTGGTAACATCAGAATCAGAACTGAAAACCCAACAACAAAACCCTAAACCTTTTTATCAAAAGGGAAAAATTATAATTTAGGGTGATTCCAAAAATAAAGGTGTGTTGTCTTCTTCTTGTAGTCCCAATTCTTCCAACAATAAGGGATCTTCTGATTTATCAATTGAGGGTGAACCAGTTGAAAAGAAAGTGTTGGGTGCTGATTATATGGGCTCTAACAATGCGTCTGTTGATTCTGTTGGTAATCACCCAGAACAGAAGGATGAACAGTTTGATACATCAGCAGCAACTGAAGGGATAAATAGCAGTCAGCAAAGTCCTGCACCTGAGGATAAGAGTAGCTAAAATGAGAGTGTGGAAACTGAAACACTTCCTGTTAGAACTCATGCTAGCCTGAGTAAGAACTAGGGACTTTTGCCTTCTTTAATTGCTCTACTCTGCTATTCTTGCTCTGATTCTCCTCAAAAACTTTCTCTTGCTCACTTTATATTTCCAGAATTTGAGATCTCTCTCTGTGGAAGGAGGAATATAAAAATAATGCAATGTTAATTATTAAGAATGCAAACCTAATTTTCCGATTTGGAGAGAGGTATTTTCCAAGGGAAAAAGCTGCTCCTATTGTTCCAGAATGGCTGCATTTTGTTTAGAGTTAGCTGTTGAGCGCCAAGATGCAATCCCTGTTGAACAGGATGAGTCATCAAACCCAAAGGTTGATGATTCTATAGACTATAGTCACTTCCACATCCTCTGTCCGTGGATGGAGGCTCTGACCTATTCCCTTTAGAAGGCTCAAAATGCTTTGAGCACACCAGCAGCAATTCATGTAGTGAGGAAGTATTTGTTGATACTGAATCCGGTCTACCAAATTCACAAGCAGATTCAACTCCAGCATCCAGTGGAAGGATTGAATCTCCCTGCAAGCAATTGAGCAGATAGCTTCCTGGAATCTGAAAGTTGGGTGATCAACGGTATCCCATGGAAAGTGCAATTGCTGGATATTAAGTGATATGGAAAAGTGCCCTGTAGAGAACAGATTATTATGAAATTCTTCAGGTTTTTAACCTTTCTTTCGCACTCATTAATTATGGATGGCAGGGAAGCTTTTTCCATATTTAGGCATATTATTGCTTTAAATTCATAAAAAAAAAAAAAACCACAGATGATTTTTTTTTTCAATTAAAATTTAGAATAAGAAACACATTATTTTTTAGTTAATGGATATCAATAGCAAATTTTTTGTATTTCCTGAAATTTAGAAAAAAAATGTTGGTCTTTAAACAGAAAGTAAGAAAGCGAAACAAGAGGCAAGGGACTCGAACAATCCATTTATTTTTTATATTTTTTAGTTTTTTTTTCTTCGTTTCGTCGCTTTTCCAAACATGAAGAAGTGACATTTTCCACGACAACAATCAAACGCCATCTTTTGTGCTTCGTCGTCTTTCCTCGTTTGTTTTTGTTGAAATTCGTCAGTCTTTGAGTTAGGAAGAAAATGTCATGGATAAGAACGGCTGTCAACAGAGCCGTGGAAGCAGGCGGAAACAACAACCTGACACGCACCGTATGGAGCTACGCCGATTCCGTTGTGCAACATGCTGGATCCGCCGTCGTTGGAAGTGCCAAGATGCTCCAGGACCGCATTGTAATTAATATTTTTTCCTTTTCAATGCTAACGGTATTTCTATTCTTTCAGCGACATTTTTATTTTTATTTGATTATTTTGCGATAATCAGGCAGCTAGGAATATGCAGAACTTACGGATAACGGTGAAGAGACTTGAAGAAGTTTCGGTATCATGTAGAGGAATTGAAAGGGTTCAGCTTTTAAGAAGATGGCTCGTCGCCCTTAAAGAAATCGACAGATTATTAAATGATCAAAACAATAATAAAGAAATTAATGATGATAAAAACAACGATAAAGATAATAGCAGCGACACAATCAATAATAATGATAATGACAAAAACGTTGATGATCAGTTTTCTTTCGAGGAGATTAAGGATTCTCCAAAAAAGCCAACTTTGGTCGGTAATCCTTTTGCTGATGTTGTTTTTTTTTTTTTTTTTCAATTTTATATTGTCTTCAAAAAAAATTTTTTTCTCTTTTTGTTTTGCAAATGTTTGTAATTATGATCACAGGTTTATTACTTCGATCCTGAAATCGGTGAACCAATGAATTTTCGTGAGGTTTTTCTTTACAGTCAAGCTCTTGAAGGCATGGCATTGTCAATGGTAAGTCTATCCTTCATGATTAGTGCCAATGTTTCCCTTTGTTTGTATTGGAAATATCATGTCATTATTTTTTAAGTTAATGGAAAAGCACTGTGATCATTAGCCATTAATACTTGGTAATCATAAAAATTTTGGTTAAGGTTGTGCTTGAATTCATAAATCATAATTTAAAAAGTATTGAAAGAACTATGATCATTGGGATGGAGGTTTTAATAAAGGAAATCTCCTCTCTCCTTCCACTCTGTGTTGGACTAACTACGACTTCGGGGAGCTTGTTATTAAGGAAATCTTCTTAAACTAAAGAGTTTGAGAAAGTATATCGGGGAAGCTGACCAAAATTTGCTTATTTTGATGTCATAGTTTGGTGTACTTTTGTTGATCATTGGCTTGTAATGCTCATGGGAGAGCAATATTAGATGCTCCCACAAGCCGTACATAATTGATTCTTGCTAAAATTAAGGGTCATCATCTGTTATCCATATCATTAGGTTAGGCCATCTCTAGGTGGAATACATAATATATATATCCTGCATATTGACCTGGACTAATAGACTGTTAACACTGATTCATATAGCAGTCAGGGGATATCATAATCGTTTAAGAATCAACCACAAAAACAAGTTTCACACTTGTTTGGCGGTTTTGGCACTCCTATTAGAAGGCTGTAGCATTATGAATATTGAAATTTTCCCTGCATTATCGTGTAACTTTGCTGCCTTGCATATTTGGGCTTTGTATTTGCTGATCGATTGAGTTTAACCGCAGGGTAACTCTTTTGTATGACTCAGATTATTGAAGCACCAAATGACGAAGAGGTTTCACTATTTATGGAAATATTTCGGTGATTTTTCTCACTCTTTGAGTTACTTTTGAGTGTCTGATTTACCATGGTGGCCTAAATTAACTGCTTAAAGTTATTTTTGGGTCAGTTATAAGGAGAGGAGAGAATTTGTTTGGAAGAAACATATGCTTTTGGCTTCTTATTATAGCCGAATTCCAAGTAAACTTCTTCTTGGTTTGGTCATATACAGGATCTGTCTTGCAGGGGGGAAGGAAGTTCATGAGGCAGTAATGAGCAGCATAAAGAATTTAGCAATGGCATTTTCAAACTACCAGGAGGAAGTATTGGTAAGTACATTGTACTATCATTAACAAACGATTAGAGTTAATCTAACATATCTGTTCATTTTACCTTAATCTAACATAAATATGTCCTCTTCGTCATTCTTTCCCTCTTATTTCTTGCAGGTAAAACGAGAAGAGTTACTCCAATATGCTCAAGCTGCAATTTCAGGGATCAAAATAAATGCTGATCTTGCAAGGTGGTTACTTAATTATAATATCTTTTCTATTGCGGCATATTTGTGGGCATTAACAAGTCACAACTTTCAAACTTCTACACTTTATGTACATTTGCAATTATTATTTCAAACCAACTAATCGATTGTGTTTCTTTTTGTTCATGTTTTGTTTCCTTATGTGCAGTACCTAAAGTGGTGTTTTTAATGTTTCTGCCTCCAAATATTTTCCCCTAATAACATCCTTGATCTTTATTACATAGACTTGTTATCTAGAGCTATGGTATTTGTAATTGATATCAGTACATATGTATCTTGAATCTTAAGGGGATTGATTCTTAGCTTCTTGTTATAAAGCTCGTGGAAATCTAGATGTGACCGAATTTCCTTGCGATATAAGTTTTCAAAGAAAATGCTGCTAGATTTAGGAAGTCTTTGCCACATTTGAACACCAATCTTCTATTAGCATCACTTTTGATTGTGCAATATGGATTTACTAGCATTTCTTCACATGTTCAAGTAATTATAAACACCTGTAGACATGTTTGGTTTGTCATAAAATAGTAGGACTGAATTGTAATCTTTTTTCTCCACTTTTTTCTGTGTCTGCTATCAGAATAGATGCTGAAACATGCAGTCTAGAGGAAAAACTTGGAGAAATGAAGGCACTCCAGAAATCTTCAAGTGAAGGTCATGAAGAATTATCTGAAAAACAAACTGCTGCGATGACAGAGGTGAAAGCTAATAAATTATTCGTGCATACCAGTGCGCAATTTCTGATTTGGAATATTGTTTAACTAAACTGACCAAACAACTGAAAAACTGAATTAACCAGCATGTTTGTACCAAATTGAGTTGGTCAATTCAGTTTTTGGGGCTTAAAAGGAAGTTTGCTTTACCATAAATAAGTATTGCTACTGTATCCTCTTGCAGTAAGATCCTAATATTTATTTGCACGGTAGAGAGAAGCGAGGCTAATCCTAGTTTTTCACTTTATGAACGATCTCCATCTTATTTTATTTTTTTTCATTTCGTAAGTATCATTTTTGTATATTTCACTGGTCCACAAGTGTATCAGATAGCAAATAAATCAAATAGTGCTCGGTATCTTGTGATTTAATAAAACTAAAAGTTTTGATCTTCCCTGTAGGCTCTTAAAGAAGCTCTTGAACTAGTAAGGCTATATTCCAGATTGGAGGAAATCTTATTAAAGAAAAAATCTTTAAGCAATGGGGATTCTCCACAAGTTCATGCTGAAAAGGTACCTCTCTTCCCCCTCGGGTATTTGGTAGATTGCCAAGTGTTAAACAAGATTTGAGGCTAACAACCAGCAGTTATCTTTTAAGAACGGATAAGACTGTAAGGTGTTTTTAGTAAGAGCTTCATTCCATCCTATTATAAAGCAAGTGCATGTTATCTTACCCTGCTGTATTTTGTTCTGTTAATTCACCTGCTCTACTCTGTTACCATAATGAAAATGTCTTTTTTACCATCACATCTTGGAAAGATCTGTTTGAAAAACCAAATCCATTCAATGATTAATTATAGGTTAGTTATTGAAAAAAAGATAAGAAAACGAGTAGATGTCATTTGACTGTGATAGTCCTTTTTATATTTTATCAAGAAAGTGTTTCTTTTTATTTTATTATTAATTAAATTTTTTATAGTTTATGCTAGCAGCAATGGTTTTCATGGCCTTCTGCTCACTGTAACCATTAATTATGCTATTATAATATGGTCCATTTTTGTTGCAGGTCAACAAATTAAAAGTTTTATCAGAATCTCTCATTAACTCAACATCCAAGGCTGAAAAGCGCATTTTAGAGCACAGGTTTTAAATAGATCATTACTCACCAATTTTCCTTTCGGGGCTTACATAATTGGATCATATTGATTTTAGCTTTGTTAAAAGTTATTGGAGCGAAATGAACTATACCTAATATGAATCAGGGAAATTTGCTAGTGTTAACCAGATGTACTGGTTAGATGGTTATTATTATTCAACAGCAAATGTAACATTCCTATATATGTCAGATAAGGCAAAAACTTTTAATGCATTGTGTTTGAATGGCTTCTTACTGTTTCCATTTTAATTTCCATTGAATTTTCTGTTGTTCATTTCTGCATTTTATAGGTACAAAGGGCCTTTTTATTTTTCTTTTCCCCTTGTGTTTCAATCAGGTTTCAGAAAGAAGAAGCGCTCAGCTTTCGTGTTGCTAAAGCCAACGAAGTCAGCCAACATGAGAAGGTACTAGTCCTCAAGGGAAGTTCTGACCTTTTCTAATCAGAATATAAAATGAAGAACTTCACATAACCATTCACGTTGGTTGCTCTGCCTTGCTTCCATTATCTTTGTCAACTGTTTTGTCATCATAACATAAGGGAATGAGGACTCGATAGGGAATTTAAGTTTCCAATTTATTATCTGTGGATCAAGTAGTAATTTTCAACTGATTTCTGATGGCACATTTGCACGTTGAAGTAAATTTTCCCTTTTACTTTTTCTACAAGGAAAATCAAAGATAATTGATATGGAATTTCCCAGGAACTGGAAGCAGGGATTCGAGAGCTTGAGAAGCAAAAAGATGAACTTGAAGCTGAACTTAAAAAGGTTTTTCTTTAATACTCTCTCACTACTCTCTCTTCTTCTTCTTGAGCAACTTTTCTGAATGGAATATCATCTATCATTAGTTAAGTTTAAGTTCTACCCTTACTTTTATTTCTTCTTTTGTGTATATAAATGTGTGATCATGTGTGTCAAAGATGAATTGCCAGTTCTATTACACCAATACCTTAATGATACATCAGTCCTGGGGGTTTTCTCCATATGATCTAGAGTGGGATTACAATTATGGCTGTGACTCTGGTTCAGGTCAATGCATCACTTATTTCTGCTCGGGCACGCCTTCGCAATGCCAGGGAAGAGCGAGAGCATTTTGATGATGCCAGTAACCAGATTCTATTACAACTGAAATCAAAGGTATAATTGCTTTAACTCTCACCATGGTACTAATCAGATTATATGCTTTTATAACTATCCCTCTGTTCATATTCAGAATTTGCAAGTCCAATTTGGCAACTAATTTGGATCCTTTTTTATTTATTTATACATTTCTTCTGGTTATAGGAAGAGGAAATTTCAAAATCGATTGCTTCATGTAGAGTAGAAGCAGATGTAGTTAATGTGTGGATTAATTTTCTGGAAGATACATGGTTTCTTCAAACTACCTACAATGAGCAAAAGGAGAAGCAGGTCAAGTATGTACATCCCCTTTCAGCTAACCAGTATGAATTGATGCTATCACTTCTTTTGACCATTTATCCATTTTAAAACAAGAAATGGTTGCAATATCACATTGTTATCTAAGTTATGCTTTATTTATAGATGAGTTATTATTTTAACTCTAAAGTGTTAAATGATTACTTTTTTTTCATTTAAATTTGCTAGTGGTGAACTAGAGAGATATGGAGAATATTTTGTGAATGTAGTCATTCGGCTTCTATCTGCGTACAAGGTATTGCTTTACCTACAATCTTATCCAGATAGCTCCTCAAACTTAATGATATCCAGCACTTGCCATTCATTACTTGGTGTCTGGTGCAAAACCTGTATTCCTTAATTTCATTGACACATCTATTTCTTTCCTATATTAAGGAGCAACTCAGGCCTTCCATCTCACGAATTAAGCACCTGGTGGAGAACTTGGGCTCAAATGAAAGGTATAATGCTTTGTTTCTTTGAAATTTTAGTGCATAATTAAGTCAAGCTTCATAATTCTTTTACTAAACCAGGTCTGGGGAAACAGCCAAGGATGAATCTCAAAAAGGTCTTAACCAAAGAAAAAATGTTGAAGAAGAATATCTGAACCTTGAATCCAAGGTATGTATCAATTTTAGTACATCCAGGATATAGCCTTAACATTGTTTGTTTTCAATTAATTTATAGTCACAAGCTACTTTTGTTACGTTCTATGTTTTTACAGTAAGCCTTTTTGTAGCACATCCATTGTGCTTGGGGACATTGCTCTGTCCTTCTAATAGCATTATATTTATGAATTTATAGGTTTTTCCATTTTAAAAAATTCTACTATTTATATTTTTTTTATCTGCAATTTGCAGTATGCATAATATCACTTTAATCATGTTAAGAGATGAAATTGTTCCTTCTTTTTTCAGTTTTTAACTTCCATAAGTGTAGTGGATTCAATGAAAACACAGTTTCAGTCTCCAAATGAAGGCATTTACAGGTATACAATTCTATCTTGTTTTCTTTCCCTTTATTAATGCGGAACTACATTAACATTGCCGTTAACGAGGGCATGGCCTTGACCCAGGAAAAACGATGAAAGGGTCAAAGAGCTTTTTGAGGATCTTCAAAGTATAAAGGAAGAATTTGAATCCATTGAGAGACCAACTTTGGTAGTTGAAACTCCAATGCTAAAATCAGGGTCACCACCCCGCACAAAGTCACAGAAAAGTTCATGGTCGCGACTAAAGTCTTCCTCAAATAAGACATTACTGAAGAAACTGAAAATTGAGTTGGAAAATGATGATGAAGAAAGTTCAGATTATGAGACAGAGGAGATTGTAGAGTGGGAGTATGATGCGTTTGAAAAGATCTAAAACCCAGCAGCCGACCAACCCAACCAAATATTGCCTAATTTATCTGGTTTGTGGTGTCATGATATGCCTCTGATTGTTCCAGTGGTTTGAAGAATTGTGTAAGATGTCTTGTTACTTCGGCAACAGCTGCAATTAGAGAAACTGATAGTTCATTGTATTTGTATGTCAAATATTGTGGTGTAGATTCTCCATTTTTTATACTGAAATGTATAGATTATAGATGACTCTGAACAAATTTAACTTATGTATTCTTTAAATCAAGCTGTTCTCCATGTTCTTCAGGGCTCAGGCTCCATGGTTCTAGTAATTCCATTCATCAGGAAATTTGGTTCTGTTTGATCACGAGTAACTTACTGGACGTCGACAATGAAAAGATAACACTACTCAGAATTGATCATAACTATCAACAAAAACTTGAGTTCTACAAGATATTGAAGGAGATTGTTTCCTGAAACTTTTACGAACAAAATGTGCAAAACAAGAAGTACAGTGGCAATCTGTCAAAGAGGTTGATTGCAGTAACAGTGACAGCATAAGGCCATTAATGGTGTTATATTAGATTATTTCATCGGCTCTGACAACTCAATAAAAGATTGCAATAATTTCAAACTACTGTAGTAGTACTTAATTGGATTCCTGAACATAATGCTTCCAAATCAATGCTACTAAGGGTGTTTTTATAACCCAAAACAAAAACAACTTTATAAAGGTTAGTACCATAATTAATCCACTTGTAAAGGGTGTTTCTGAAAGTGACTCCCTTGACCCATTGGGCCTGGCCTTGAACTTTTAGATCTCAGCTCTGAGTTGTAATTGCAACTTTGAGTCTTTCTGGCGGTGGCTCAGATGCCTCAGAAGGCAAATGATGCAGGCATTAGAGTTAAAAGCTAATTGCCAGGATTGAAAGTAAGATCCCTGTATACATGAACAAAGCTTTTGCTGCTCAGACCAGCATCACGTGTTCACCTGCTTCATTTGTTTCTGAAAAATCGGCTTACCATATTTCAGAGCAGTGATTGGCTTTGTATCAGATTCCTTCTTTTGAAACTTCATTATTTTCACCCTCAAAACGAAAAACTACTAAAATGTGTTTACCTCAAACTCTTTTACTACAGAACTGAACTAGTGATAGCAACCTCGACATTTTATTAAACTGATGACAATGCGCATATATGTCAAGTCTAAATTGATAAGGCAAACTCCTATAATTTCTGGTTACAGGAATAATGTAGAAAACTACAAAGCCAATTGTAATGTGCTCATTGAATATTGTGGCTGGTTTTGGATCAAAGTTGGAGGATTTTGACCAAATTAAACAGTTAGTACAAGAGGAGACAAGCAAAAAAGCCCTCTAGCCTCGGGTAAACCGCGTCCCACCACCAAAGTTTTGGAGCTTATACTTGTTTTTTTTTTTTTTCCCTCTCCGGGTGAATAGAGCTTATGCTTGTTGTTAGTGAGGTCAACAGCTGCAGCGAAAATTTCTAAAAATGGAACAATAATCAAGATAGGAAAAGGGTTAAAATTTCTCCCATGCTTTGACCAAGTCAAATGGTTGGAATTCAGATATATAGTCCCCATAGCAATAGGCTGATATATAACGTAGCAGTTCTTGGAGAAAATAATTTAGCTTAAAGGCTTGGAAACTTGTAACAATAGAATAATAGCTCTCCCTCTTAGGCTTTAATTCATTATTGAATTGTAAACTTGACGGTGCAAAAAACCAGGTTTTGAAAACAGGGCTGGCCTTGTGAAATTTAAATTTTGCTGCAGAGAAGTTTGTAGATGTGCAAAAAACAAGTCTGTTGTATATATATAATCCCAACGCCTGCAATCCTTTCCCTATTCCTAAGCCAGGATCTCCTTTGTAAAAAAAGCAAACTAAGCCGGAGTGGCAGCGAATGCCTAAATCCTTGAGAATTCCGACGTTAGATATACTATCATGCATGTCATGATTTCAAATAAGATTCCATCTGAGCCCTTTTGATCTATTCTTCTTCTACTTTCATTTTCTTTAACACTGTTGAAGAGATTTGTGTGTGCTGCTTACATAGAAACTTTCAGTAAAAACAAAGGCACTGTCACCTTTCTGGTGGTGGAAGATTCTTACCTTCTGCACTACAGTTCAAGTTCAAAGTATATGTAAACATGGCAACATTCAAGAGCCTCAAAAAACATGGGGCGCACCAACATTGTTATCCACTTTTCTACACTCTATACAGTCCTTGCATTATAGGGATTTGATCAGGTGGTTCTAAGCTCACCTAAAGCTTACTCGTTGTATGTATCAGAAGTTAATTGGCTATGGATGCAAGTCAAATTCAAAAGAGAAGAAGGAATGATAAAAAATATAATGAGAAGATTCTTTGCATTCTTTTCTTTCAAACTGAAAACTTGGAATAAAAAGACAAACGGTTGTAATTCACCTTTTGAATGTAGAAGGTAAATGCTGAAACAGTAAAAAGATAATAACATAAATAATTCAACCCATGGCTACTGTGTGTAAGCCACATAAATTTTGATGCATAATTGAAGGGATAAAAACGCAGAATACAACTACATACATGGGTCAGTCAGAAGCTGTTCAGCTGAAGGGGGGAAATTCCACACTGTTTTCTGCATTTTATTGTTTGGAACCATTCAAGATATTACTATAAAGCAGAAAAAGAGTGGGAAAAAAATGGAAAAGACTTGACAATTCCTTACCTTGTGATTTTATTTTTCTAACTTGGCTCCACCCTCACTTTAAATGATGCGATGCCCTCTCTTTCCTCCCCAAGTTCACCTTCCCATAAGCTGAACATCTCCAAGAGAGAGAGGTTTTTGACAGTTCAAAAGATGGCCAGAAGCCAAGCTTCATGTACCCACGCAGCTGAAGACTATATTGTTATGGAGGTAAGCTCATCCTCCAACTTCTTGTGTTACTCTATAAGCTCTCCACCACAAATTAGAGAGTTTGAGTTCCAAATGTGTTCAGTTTCCCGAGATGGAGAAACCTCAACTTTCCCTGCTGATGAGCTCTTCTACAAAGGAAAGCTCCTTCCCCTCCACCTCCCTCCTCGCTTGCAAATGGTTCAGAAACTACTACAAAGTTCCAACAGTACGTTTGAGAGCAAAACTGAAGCACCCTTTGACGAAAATTCTGCTGTTCCTTTCGTAACTGGCTCTGCTATTCCTTCAACTAATACAAGTACCCCATTGGAATCCAGCGGGGTGAGTAGTGAACTAAACCCTGATGACGGTTTCTTTGAATGTTCAACTGAACTGAATGTCTTCATTGGGAATAATTCGAAGAGCTCTTGGTCTACAAAGCTCAAGCAGATCAAGCAATCCTCAATAAGCCAAAAGCTCAAGGTGTCGCGGGCGTATCTTAAGTCTTTATTTAGTAAGACTGCCTGTTCAGATGGGTCTTGTGACAAAGCAGCATGCATTGTGGAAGCAGAAAATGTTTCAAAGGGCAAAGATTGTGTAAACAAGTACATGAAAATGGCAAAGAAGAACTCATTTGGAAAGATTGATAATGATAGATACAAAATATCAAGTATTATGAAGAGCATTGACAGGGAGCTGGTTGAGGATGCTGCAAATAGCCATAGGAGGTCCTTTTCAGGGGTAATTCAACGGCATTCTGCAACAAAGTCTTCATCTACATCAACATCTTCATCTGGTTCCTCTTCTTCTTCATCATCTTTTTCATTCAGTTCAAGCGGATTCTGTGATTTACAGTCGCTGAAAAGGAGCAGCAGCGCGAATTCAGAGATTGAGAATTCAATTGAGGGAGCAATTGCTCACTGTAAGCAGTCTCAGCAGCTATCTACTTCAAGAAAGACTTATAGTGAACCTGGCGATTGTTCACTTTCTGCTTCAAAGATTTCAGTTAGTAGGGAGCAAGAAAGACCAGGACTTTGTTAGCATATGAAGATGAAAATACTTTGGAAAACACTGAAAATCCACTATAAGAAGCAGAAAGAAAATGCAAGTTGATTGAGATGGTACCCACTTCATGTTACATTCTTCGAATTGAGTGTCATTTAGATACTTTGCATGTTTTTCCACCACTGTTAGACAAGACCAAGTTGTTAATGTTCCTGTACTACATTTCTGTGCAATTTATCATTCAAAATCAATAAAAAAAAAAAACGTTTCACTAAAATCACCAGAGCTTTAAATCTGTAGATTCTGTAAAACGAGGTGTATTTTATAAAAGTTTTTTTTTTTTTCTTTATATGAAGCACTTCCCTGAATTAGGGATTCTCTATTACTGTTTCAGCCTTTCAGGCTTTATCCCTGTTTTCAACATTCAGGAAGTTAGGAGATTTGTATCTGTCCAGAAAATGAGGACTGCCATCTTTTTATCATTTCTCTTTGAATCATTTCAATGAATAAAGATGACTTTATAATCTCAATTCGATATTAAAATCATTAGGAACAGACTGATCATTGACCAGAAGTAAGTTGTAAAAAAATCATTGTATTTTCACTTAATCTAAACAAGCCAATAACAGTAAATGGCCTTTTTTTCACAGACTACAGTAAGAATTAAAAAAAAAAAAAAAAACCTTTAAACTATATCATATAGATAAATTCATATACTCTTATTGCATTCAAATAAAATTTTAAATTTTAATTTATATTCAAATAAATTCTTAATATTTAATTTGTACCCAATAGGCATGTAATATTAGTTTTAAAAAGTGGTTTAACAATATTTTGATCCCGAAAAAACCTTGATTGCTGGAGCAAACAGATGCTTTGTTCAGACAAGCATGATCATCCCCTGCAGAACAGCATGGTTTTACTGCAAATTAAAAACAAAATAAAAAAAATAAAGATACCCAGTACCAAAAGGGAGGAGGCCCAATGGCCGAAAAAAGATAAGAGGCCCGTGGTTGACCAGAAAAGGCCAAGGAAAAACCCATGTCAAGGGCCGCCACCAAAAAAAGGATGGGCCCAGGAGAGGTACTCACCCACACGCACTTCTTCGGTCTATGGACTTGGGGGCCCTATACTCTTACAAATAGTCAAACAGCAGCACCCACCGGCCAGCCAACACCGCGTCGTATGTGGGACAAAAACTAAAAAGATTGATAGATTGATGTGGCTAAGTAAGGTACGGCCGCGTTTTCTGGTGTCTTTGTCTTTTTAAAACTAAGCCAAAGTGTTTGGATGTCATGAAAGTTAAGAGAAAAAGTGCAAGAAAGACACGTTACTGTTAATTCAGATCGGCCTAATGCTAGCGTTTCAGAGCTTTTACTTGAACAAATACTTGGGGCAACTAAATATTTATATTAATATTATTTTACGGCGAAGTAAAATAATCTATACCGAAAGCTTTGTATTATTGAATTATATTAATATCTACGAAACGATCACTTACAATGATTTTGATCACAAGATATCCTCTTTCTGCCTCTGAAGAGCATATGCACGGCAAATCTGTACCGTCATTGTTATAGCCAAAAATGAAATGAAATGAAATGAACCGAACTTCAGCTCTCACAAACAAAATAAAACAAAAATTTTCTTCCATCTTATTGTTATTTTCTCATGATTTTGACTAAACATTAACCTAGACAAAACAAGCCTGCTAGATTTTTGACAAGATTGGAAGGGAAATAATGAAATTGCATAGCAGCTAATTGACAGATGTTGAGCACCAGGAGAACAGACAAGTATAAAAAAGCAACTCCTTTTCCCCACCAGTATAATCAGGTTTGTCCATTTGGTGAAAGAATGGAAGTGCAAGGTACTAAAACTTGTAAGCTTGTAAGAAGTATCTTAATTTCAATGGAAACTCGAACTATCTAGGCAAAAAGACTAAAAGTTGGACTCCAAAATTATATGCTTATGAAAAATAGTTCTATCGAATGATTAGCTTGCAATGTAGGAAAGGAGGTAAATGACCTAAGATTAAGAAACTTTTCTGTCCATCGAAATATCGTTTTCGGGAACGGATTGCATTCCATGGCCTCCCCTAGAAGTAAGGTTCAGTAAGCTCTTCGGAAGTGTTGACAGTCTAAAAGATTTGGACTCACAAATTCCATGGTTTTCCCCGGCCACCAAGAAAACAAAAATGGCCATATTGTTGTTTCCTCATTTGAAAGATGTTAAATTTATGTAGTCAAGTGTGAAGTGGTAGTAATATGTTTTTGGAAAAAGCAATCAGAACGTTGTGAGGTTAGAACAGTGACTGTCTGTTGACACGTTGGGACGTAAACGATGATGTCTTACGAATGTAACAATGGATGACAGCTAATCTAGGCAATGAAGCCAAATCATGGACTCATTTGTTTTCCTTAATCCATTGAACTACAAAAAGGAAATGTATACATATTCTCTACTGTTTACAATCTGTATAAGCCCAATCTTGCAATTTTGCTTCAACGAGAAGCACTAGGCTGACATTCTGCTACAGTTAGTCATATATCTGTGAATGAGATAAAAAGAGGTAGGTGGGTGGGGAGAAGGATATAAGCCGCATCAAAGCTCAAACAGCATAGAGTTTCTTGTGCTCATTGTTGAGAATCTCAGTGTCAGACATATATGACATTGACAGTGACCGGGATCCGCTATTCATCGAAGACCTGCGGATGCTCCGAAGTTTTGAAGCCTGGATACGGTTCACAATCACCCAATAACACAATGTCCCCAATGTTGATACCATGATTACAGTCCCTATAACAGTAATAAGAATAGCTAACCACGTCTCATCGTTTCCAACTACAATATACGAAATGGCAAGAAATGCAACTGAAATCAGCACACAAGCCAACCACATGAGCTTATTAATAACTGCCATCATCTGCTTCTTTGCCTTACTCTGTATAACTACAACTGAGGTTTGCACTACCACAACAGCCAATGATATGAAGAGGGCTATGGAGTCAAAGACTATAAAAACCATAAACGGCAGTTTTGAAGCAATTCTCGCTTGTCCTGGAGAGACTCCTGGTGAAATATCATCAGGACTGTCAGCAAATTGGCCTGGGACATTGAAGATGGCAGCAAAAGCAATAGTGGCAATGAGAACAGCCACCACTGTGCTGGAGTTGATCGCATTATTGAGACCTTCAACATGCATTTTGTTAAGCCGCTTGGCTATACCTTGCACACGTTTTCTTGTTTGGCGTGTATGCTCAAGCTGGTGATGAACCCCATTCTTTATATCACTTACTGTCTGTTTTAGTTCTCGAGCCGAATTTTTAGGTTGCGGCTTGATGAATTTGGCGCATTGGACTCCATGCTCTTTTAAGATGCCTGAAATATCAGATAGTTTATTGTTCTCTGCAGTGTCAAGCGCCGTTTCCCCGTACTTGTTGATGACTAGTTTGTCAACTCCACTGTGATTTAGCAGCTTTTGAACAATCTGAAAGATTGAATTGTGATTAGACAGGCTCACAGAATTTTCCTACTCTATAAGAGAGATTAAAATTTCTATCAAGCAACTTTGGTTGGTTATTTCTAGTCACTGCAGAGTGCATTTGTTGCAAAGAATTACTTAGAACCTATCATATCAGAAGTTAAAGTGGGAACTTATTCTAAAGCTGAAAGCAAAAACGCGAACTACTTTCCATAATGAAAACCAGTTCACTACTTGAAATAAGATACTATGAGTTAAGATGATTCCCAATATCTGACAGAACATGCAAAGCCATTACAAATTCATCCTGCAGTAAGTTATGTTGGCAAAAGACAAATTCTAAAGAGGAGACACAACAATTACTAAAAATTCAATGTTAACTACCTCAATCCGACCTTTCCGAGTTGCTATATGCAAAGCAGTGTTGCCCTTATTATCAGCCATGTTTATTAAAGTAGGATCTGACTTTATCAGCTCATCTACCACTTCAACATTCTGTCCTTTAACCGCCATATGAAGAGCTGTCTGGCCCTTCTTGTCATTTCTTGTTGCAATTTCTAGTTCTTTAGACAAAAGGGCCTTTACTATCTCTAGATGCCCATTCCTTGCTGCCGAATGCAAGGCAGTTTTACCATTGCTCTTTGCTATTTTTGCCACGTTGCTGCCTTTTTCCAAGAGGAAATTCACCACTTCAGTGTGGCCTTGTGATGCAGCAGTGTGCAATGCTGTGGTGTTATAAGTATCAAAAGTCATTGAAAGATCAAGATTGACCTCCGTGAGAATCTTCAATACATCTGAGACAGGCAGTAGATTAAAAAATAAATAATTATCCTCAAGGATAATCTGTTAATGGGCAAGGATTAGAATAATCTTTACAAAAATACAAATAAATTGCAAAAAAAAAAAAGAGGTAGTTTGATTGAAATTTTGGGATTGGGATAAAATATGGCAACTTTAAACAAATCATAATTTCATCAAAGTAAAAAGTTTATTACAAAAATAGCAAGACCTTAATAAATAAAAAATAGAAATAATTTGATAACATAGTTGCTAAAATGGTTCTTAATTTCGTATCCAACATGATTATTGAGTGAAAAGAAACTAAGAAACTCACCCAAGTTCCCTTGCTTGGCAGCAATATGAAAAGCATCAAAGCCATTCCTTGCTTTAACACCAGCCAAAACAATATCATAGTACTTCATCATTTCCTTCACTAAATCAGCATAACCACAGTCAGCAGCAACATATAAGGCAGTTTCACCGGATTGATTCTGCTTAGACAACAAATCCTTCAACTCTCCATCCTCACCACCACTAATTATTTCCAAAACCAATTCAAAATCTCCTGCTCTCACAGCTGAGTGCAGCTGTGTATCATCCCTTTTACCTGTAAACTGCTTTGTCATCTCTTTTTTCAGAAAACTTCGCTCTTTTCCCATAGTTTCCTCCTACTTTGCTTCCTTTAGTGCAAACTTCCAAAAGAAAATTGATTCTTTTCAATCAAAACCTCAATTATTCACCATGCAGGCAGATCAAAAACTACATCCTATGCATAAAGGAATCCCTGAAATCAATATAAAAAGATAAGATGATTCAGAAGACTGAGAGATATGTATGCACGTGGGAAACCTAAGGCCTCTGATTTCATTGATATCATTATATACTTGACATTTCCCTTGCAACCCAAATTCAGTTCACATATTCTAATCTAAAAAATTAAACCCAATAGTCTCCCCACACATCATTATAATTATCCACAGTTTCATGTCTATAATTATTACCAAAAATCATAAATGAAAGAAAAAAACCACTAGATAAGCACTGCAAATTTTGAAACTTTGCTTCATGTTTGAATCTTTATCTTCATTCAATGAATCAAATGGAATAATTGGGTAGTTAAATTTTACAACCAACCATCTAAAGTCAAAGTCCCCAAGTGAAAACAGTCAATAACATAAAATAAAGAAATGGGTTTTAATTTTTTTTACTTACCTTGGTTCTTGGCTTTAAAAAAACAAAGCTTCCCTGTCTCCTCTGTTACAGAAACAGTTATAAGAAAAGGGAAAAAAAAAAAAAAAGCTCTTTGAAGGACTCAGAAAAAGGGTTGCTTAGAACAATGAAGAACAAAAAACAGAAGAAGAGATGAAGAATAATTTAGAAGCAAAAAAGGATAACAGGGTGATGGTTACTTGCAATGGCCAAGTGGGGAGCTTTAGTGAAAGAGGCTTGCAAGCAACGAATAAACACCGTAGAAACTTATCGTTGCGTTTCTCTTTAAAATCCTAGTTCGTTTGGAGTCCTACGTGGTACAAAGATAACCAATGATATTATTCCACGTAAGCTGTCTACTGAATGACCTGGACCACCACCGGCCAAATGACGCGCGGGTGATATTGTTCGTTAGTAATTCGTATGTCAGTAAGTAATCTCTGCGCGAGGTAGACTTCAACTTAAATACGTAGATTCATGTATTTATATATATAATATTCAAATTTATGTATTTATATTATGTTTGATATAAAAATTATTTGTTATATTTTTTGTTGATATAAAATATAAAATATAATTTTTTGTTTTATTAAATTTAAATAGTGATTATTAAAATTTTAAATTATATTATTTTTTATATATTTTCATCATATTTTAAATTCTTAAATCTAATTATAAGCATAGCATATTCACTCGAGCAGGCATTTAAGCAGATCGGACATGGGTGAAATAAAATCAAAGCTAAAAGGTGGTCCATGTTTCTAGAATTTTATAGTGCTATTGAATTTCAAAGGTTGAGAATTGACATGAAAAAAAATAATATAATGAATAATCTACATATTCTCAAGAAAAAAAAATTATTGTTGTTAATTTTGAAATTTTCATGATAGAAAAACAAAAACCATTACTTGAACTTTTTATGCCATTCCAAATAATATGTTTCAATGATTAAAAACTTCAAATTTTTAATTAAATATATTAAGATTATATTTAGTATATAAAATTATGATAAAATAAGATAAAATGATATTATAAATTAAATTAAATTAAATAATATCATTTTATTTTGTATTTGATATATACAAATATTATAATAGAATAATTTATTTATTTATTTATGAAAATTATTCTTATTTAAAATTTATACAATTAAAATTATTGATAAAATTTTTTAAAATATAATTAAATATATAAGTTTAATCTTATGAATTAAAAATAATTCTCTTCACTTATGAAGAATTTAATAATCCTATTACAAGAAAATAATAATATTTCTTACAATTTTTATATTTCTTTTTAAATATAAATTAAACATAATATAATATAATTATTATCATATTTTATTAATAATTTTATATGCCGAACATGACTTAAGTATAAACATTAAAAATGAAAACAATGAAATTTATAAGAAGTATAAAGATTATTTATTGTAAATACTCTAAAAATACTTTTGTATTAAAATTTTTTAATGAGATTACATTTAAAATAAAAATCACAATCCAATACATATAAATAATTGTCAAATTAAAAAAAATAACGTACAAGTTTAATAAATTAACATAAATTTAGATGAAATTTAAAAGCTTAAAAAATAAAAAAAAAGTGGCAAAATATAAAGCATAATACTATTACATTCACTTGGAAAAAAAAAGACTTTAATCTTTGTTGACAAACAAATGAAAAGTGGAGGTGATATTAAGATGAAATTAATTATTGAAGGAAGGAAAGGATTTGAGAATTGTATTTAGTAATTAATCTGTGCATAGAAAAATCAAAAGAGAATATTTACAAGTCAAAAGAAGCGAGTAACCTGTGTCCCCATTTATAATGGCCGAGTACCAAAAAGGAGGGGGACCCGCGCTTGACCAGACAAGGCAAAGGTAAACCCAACTCAAAGGGCCGCCACATAAAAAGATGGGCCCAGGATTTGCGCTCGCCCACTTTTAGTACGACGGTCATGAACTGACACGCACTGCCTCGGCCTTTGGACTTGTGGGCCACAACTGACACGCACTACCCACCGGCCAGTCACAACCGCGTCATATGTGGGAGAAAAGATTGATAGCTTTGTTTTAGCGTTTGAGTGATTTGGCTAACGTTTGATTTTGTCCCCGTTTTCCCGTGTCTTGTCATTTTGAAACTAACCCGACTGTTTGGATGCCATGAAAGTTAACAGAGAAAGTGCAAGACACATTATTGAAAAGAAGAATAATTAAAAAAAAAACATTTTCATTTCTTTTCATTTTTTTCCCATCAAATTTGATTATTCAATATTTTCACAGAGCTATTAAAGAAAAGACTATTACACAACTTTAGTCCTTTGTCTGAACTTTATTAATGGTGTTACTAGAAAATGGACTGTAGAAATTAATTTCAAATTTAACCAAAAAAACTCATTAATTTAGAGCTATTCGTTGTTCCCCATATTCCCACTACAAAGCAGGGTTAACATCAATCCAAAATAGATTTAGGCAATTTGAAACATAACACAATAAAGACACGATATGACGATATAAATAAAAAATATAAAAATAATAAAATTTAATAAAATTATAAATAAATTTAATAAAATTAAAAAATTATATTTTATATTTTTATGTTAATATAAATTATGATACATGTATAATATTTTACATGATGCAGTAATATGAATTATTAAATCTAATTCAAGGCTTTTCTTAATTTTTTTTAGAATAAAAAAAATCATAAATTAAGGGTAAAGAAAAGAATTATAAATTTTGTAATTTGAATTTAAATTTATAAAATATCATCTTTTATAAATAATTACACGAATAAATTGAGTTAAACTTTAACTTTAATATTTTTTTAACTTTTGCAAATGGTTTGGTGAGAAAAAAAAAATAGAGAAAAGATTCTCACCTGAGCAGCATGGTCGGGGCAAGTTGCATAAAAAACAAGTAGAATTTTAAAGACAAATAAAAAAAATTGAAGCAAATTAATTGGCTGAGACTAGAGCATGAGCATGCTGCTGGCCTCATGCATTGCAGCATTAGTTGTAGCTGTTATGACTATTAGTGGAGGCTATCTCTCTTTCACTTTTAGGATGTGGATTGTTTAACTAACCCCTATTGCCATGCATCTGCATCTTGTCTCTTCATGCGAATATTTTTGACTTTGGGGGCACCATTTCCACCTTCCTCAGTTCCTCTAACTATTCATTGTCCGGCGCCCATTGGTGGGAAGGAGTACGCGTAGTGAGGGACTGGGTAGTTGTATCTGACTCATTATTCCATCCTCTTCATCAGCCACAAAGGCAACCTCAAATCATTGATACTGCTGGTGCCGAGGTCCAAGGTGATCCTCAAACACAGAAATTACAAAAGGAAAAAGAGAACGGTTAAGAATAAAAATAAGAAGTATTCCCTATCTTTACATTTTAACACTCAAGTTAGGTGTGGCATAAGAGAAATCAGAAAAAGAGAAAAGTAAGAATGTATGAATAAAATTGAATGAAATGATAATATCTAAATATCTTAATTTATAAGTAAAAAATAAAAAGTTTATGAGGTAAAATAGTGACATAGTCATGTGTCAGTTATATATGTTAGGTATCTACTAACGATCTCTAATGAATAGAATGACTAAAGTACCTTTTAGACCCAAATATACCCTAATTGATACTATTGCCAATAAAATTTGTTAATTAAGGTAGCTGACATGCATGCTTATGCTGCCAATGAGAAGCTCATGAGGTTGGTGTTATAACATTGGTTGAAATATCTGGGATTCTGCTAAATTTTAAGTAAAAAAAAGAAATGGAAATGGAGGGAAGAATGAAAATAAGAGAGTAGCTTCTGCATTATCCTTCTTTTTCAATGAACACGTTTGGCCTGATTAATTGGAAGCTATTGAGCTTCCCTTTCCCAAATTTGCATGGAAAAATATCACAACAATCAGATGACACAAGCCAAAATTTATGCACTTTACAGTACAAAATCTATGTCTAACCGTCTGGTTCTCCAACAGTTAATAAGGTATGCAACAGCTTTACAGCATGATTAAAGAAAATAAACAAACAGCCAAGGCTGCATTATTATGTGTTTCGTTTCAGTTTGATTTGCTTGCTTACCAGACACATTTACAGAATAAAGCTTCTTACAACACAAAACTGCCCCATTTTCTGCTTCACTCATTTCCTTGAATTACAAGTTAGAAGTACTGGCTTCATAGGCCAGTTCCAAGTAGTATGAACATTAAATGGCATAGATTGAGTTCACGTCTGTTTCAGAGTCTGATAAGCGCCGTGATCGTGCTTCATTCCTTGAAATCTTCCCTTTCTTTTTTAATTTTTGGATCCTTTTGTTTTTGACAACAAAATAAGTCATGGTGCCAAGAACTCCTGCCATTATTACTCCTCCTATAACTGTTATAAGAATTGCGGCCCACATGTTCTGTCGACCAACTACTATATACGATGAAGAAATAAATGAAATACTAGTGCAGACAGAAGCCAACCACATCAACTTGTTGATCACTTCCACAACCCTTCTCTCTGATTTCGTCTCTCCTCTTACAACTGTGATTTGCACCACCACAACAGCGAGCGAAGTGAAGAGTGCAATCGCATTAAAAAGGAAGAAGATCTTAAATGATGTCCTGCTAACGACGACAGCCATTCCGTTGTCATTATCACCCCCAGGAACTGTGAAAATAGCTGCAAATGCACCTGTTGCAAAAAGCACAGCTACCACTGTGACTGAATTGGTGGCATTGTTAATACCTGCCCTATGAAGTTTACGCAGCTCCATGGCAATGCCATTAACATTTCTGTTTGTTTTGCGCGTTTGTTCAAGCTGGCTATGCACATCTTTCTTGATCTCTTTCACAGTTTTCCTGAGCTCATCTCGTGGCTGGTTTAGCTCGTTTGCTCTGACAGCACCAAAACGAGACAAACAGTCCTTTATTTCAGCAATTTCCTCAGAGAGTGGAAGCCCTTCAGCAATGTCAAGAGCTGTTTTATGGTCTCTTGTAAGCGCATTCACGCTAGTGTCTGGGAGGTGTAAAAGTTCGTTCAATATCTGCAAGAAACAACTTAGTCAATGCCTTCTACTAACTCTTTCAAGGGTTATTGCCATTTATTTAAATTGCTTGCATCCTAATTATTCGCCCATGTTCAACACAATAAACTCAAAGCAATGGAACTACCATGTATAAAGAAGTGATAAATTGAGAAAATAAAATTTGGGAAGAAAAAAGAGAAAACATGGGGGCGACAAAGAGAAAATAAAGACCCTGAAATCAGCAGACAGAACTGAAAACCATAGTAACAAGAGAACTACTGCGTTGAATATTTAGAAAACCATGCCACTAGAAACAACATTTTAGACGCCAGTTTTTATCTTCAATTAACAGGAAACAGACAACTTGGGCCATTGCAGCCAATTAAATTGCATATCTGACAGCTACTCATAAGGCTGAAGAGGCAAACTATTTTGTATATATGCATAACACTAATCAATACCTCTGTTCGTTTTTTCCTAGTAGCCACATGTAATGCTGTATTACCAAACTTGTCTGGGAGCATGACAATGGCTGCATCGGTCTTAAGAAGCAATCTCACCACCTCACAGCTAACCCCTTTGACTGCCATATGCAATGCTGTCTGCCCTTTCTTATCAGTCCTTCTTGCCAATTGTGGATCCTTGTCAAGCAAGGCTTTAACAATATTGACATGCCCTTGCCTGGCAGCAAAGTGTAACGGATTTTTTCCATTTGCTTTTGATATCTCTAACAAGCTAGGATCTTTGCTCAGCAATTCATTAACTACAGCTGTATGTCCTTTTGCAGCTGCAGATACAAGAGGGGTTGCATTTGCTTGTCCAACTGTTTTACTTAACCCTGGATCGTGGTCCAATAGCACCTGGACAATGGCTGCATAAAGGTAATTATTGAACTTAGACAAACTGCAGCATCCTAGGATGTAATTTATGCTACAGAACATAAATGAAAGCAACCAGAAAACATGCAACTTATGAGTGAGATTAGTTCATCAGCAGAGTAGAAAAAAAAAATGCACCGGAGACAATTCAAAGTTAGTGTCATAAGCACCTTGGAGAGTTATGTCCAATTGGACACTGACAATCATTGGTTATGTTGTTTCCTATTATACTTTCCTTGCAAAGTTTCAATGTCTTGAAAATGGCATTGAGAATCTTGACTCACAAAAAGAAAGAGAAATTCAGAATAATTATTTTGATTCCTGAACAATTCAGAAGTAGCAAATGGCAGTTATTAAGATTTTCATATTAGCTCTTACTTCAACCATTCGCTGAAACATTGATCGTGGAAGTACCTATTGTCAATTTTTCATGTATCAGCACTTGACTTTCATCTTCGTCAACTTTTGGCGGCATGAGAATTCTGACTATTTTATCTCAGAAGTAAAGAACATCTCTATGTGAAAATAGCTTTAAGACAATGCCAATTTTTTACAGTATAAACAATAAGTTCATCCATCAACCAAAGAGGGTTCTCTGAAGTGATTCTCTGCAGTTAACTTACGTTACCCTTTGAACCTCTTCTCACCCCCCCCCCACCCCTCTTTTTTTAGACAAAAAGACAATTCCTAAAAACTTGCTGTGCCTTCATGACAGTAAACAAGCACTACAAACTAAATATATTTTACTCAATTTCAACCTACATTACGCTCATAAGAGAGAAGGCTTTTCCTAATACCTTCATGACCTTGGCTTGCTGCAATATGCAGTGGATCGAACCCAGATTGATTCTTCAATGCAATGCCCTCCTTAGTCGTATACTGTAACAGCTCCTTAACCACATCCAAATGCCCCTTCTCAGCTGCAGTGAACAACGCTGTCTCTCCCAACTCATTCACCTCATTCACAATTGCTAACCTTATTTCTGTCACCTTGTTAAAAAAGCATGTAGATACGATCAAAATGTGAATGCAACACTCAAACTAGTTTTTGCTAATGCATTCTTAAATTCATATTTCATTTGGCATCACATTCAGGATTGTCACAAGAGTATTCTTGAAATGCTAAACCTTGATAGTATGCATTTAAGGTTATGCTCAGTTATAGACAGCTCATATCATCATCAAATTGAATATAACCTTGAATCTCTTAACATAGTAAATAAAAAAGTAAGGCCCTAAGATTTGTTATAATAAGATATTGGCATGCATACATTGTTTCATAAACAACTACCTCAGCATCAAATTCTGCTCCACTAAGTGTCCCCATCATCTGAGCATCAATTTCTGCCATAATCTGTCTGATTGCTCCAACTTCACCACGCTGTGCAGCCAGGTGTAGCTCAGTGTCATTATGTCGGCCGGTGACTTGTTTCACGTACTTCTTTTTATCAAACCGCTTTCCGGAATTAGAACCTGCAAGAGACTTGCCAGAATTGGACACCGCCAGGGCCTTTCCAGAATTGGATGCCACCAGGGCCTTCCCTGAATTGGATAGAACAAGAGCAGGCCTTGGCGGACTCGGAGACGGCAGTGGTATTGTCTCCGACAACTGGCAAGGCTGTGGAGAAAGTCCCTTCTCCATATCCACCTCGCATTCTTTGCACATTTCATCCATGTTCAAAAAAAATCCATCAATTCTAAAATATAACCCATTAAAAGCAATCCCTATAGATCAAATCCTAGATTCTATGCTTTGTTTCTTTGCTAAAAATATATATATCTATACTTTATCTTTTCCCGTCACATTGCATGAAAGTGAATGGCAGAATATATATATATTGGTTTTCTTTCAATTTCATTCATCTGGGATTTCTCGAAAACCGAAAGGATCATCAAAAGATAATAAAAAAAAAAGAGAGAATGTACCTTCTTCTTTACCAGACCCCATCAAGACTCAAGAGATGCAAAAGAGAACACTACGAAATCACCTTCTCCATGATTTCCATTGATCTTCTTTGGAGATTTTATGGTCAAACGAGAAAACAAAGAATTCAAAACGAAGAGTGAAAAATGTACCCAAAAAGGAAAAAAAAACAAACAACGACTGGAGAAGAGGAGAAAAGAAGGGGGATTGGGAAATGAAGCCGCCGGGCCTGCCAGCCCGACTAGCTTGGCCCCCGGAGGTTTGGGATCTCACCTGCGTCCTTTACGTTTTTTTTTTGTTTTTTTTAATGTTGTTATTTTGGCCTTTTTTGCTAAGTCCTGTCATGTCTCTTTGTGATTGTACGGTAACATACGGAAATTTATAAACCCAATAACCCCCATTCAGGCAAGACAAATGCCATTGGTCCGACGTACTAACAAACTTATAACTACCAATGACAAACCAGCTAGTAATACCTTTTTTTCTTCATATTTTTATATTTTCCATGATTTATTCTGTTTCGATCCAATGAAACTTTGAGATAAACCACGTTCCTTCAGTAAGAGCCAATGGGGAATGATAGGCACGCGGAGTAATTTTTTTATCTAATAGTGGCAAAATGAATCCAAACTTAAAAATTTATTCGAAAAAATTTGAATTTAAAATGGATCCAATTTTGTTTGACAAGAAAAAATTCAATCCCAAATCCCATTAACCATAAATCTAATTGATATAAACTTGAAAAAACTCACCCAAACTCTTAAAACATATTGAAATAATTACATTTTTTTTAAATGTAAAAATCGATTTGATTAATCTGAATTCAATTCAAATAGAAAAAAATTTAAACTGAAATGAATCAAATTCTATGTTATCTGAATCTGAAATGTACAATCCGGCAAACTCAAGTCGTAAGTTCTAACTCCAAAATATGGCCTTAATTAAACCCGTTAGCATTGCTATGTCCTTCACTTTGATCAATCCAAGAAACCTGTAATAACAAAGCACATGCAAAATCCTTAGCCAAACTGTAAATCCAAATCCTCCCAAACTGTCTGCTAATGCTTGAGTTGGCTTAAATTGAGAGATTAACTGACGCAAATAATAATAAATAACCCCCTAAATTTTGTCGGCAAACGCTGTTGCATGAAAGAATCAAGAGCAAGATAGACAGTTTCTTCTAGGCAATCAATCATTCAATCTAGACATCTACCGAAGCTCTTTTTCCGTTGCGAAACAATCAATTTTCTAACATCCCTGGGCTGTTAACATCGTTAATGGGGAACGTTCACGGCCACCGCAAGAACCGTAACAATCACATTCACTCTAGCTCTTACCCAACGTCTATTCCGCCTTATTACAAATACGGTCCACCTCCCCAACCCCAAGTCCCAACCCCAGATGGCTCTCTCTTTACCTTATACTAATGACGACTCCAGTCTTCGAGCCCTTGCCGGTCAGGCTGAGGGCTTTGGTCGCTTCGCCATTGGCGGGTTGCTTGCTCCTCTCTACCATGTCACCACTTTAGTAGGTAAAGTTACAACTTTAATGTGGTTGTTTGTTGGAGTTATATTTGAAGAAAAATATTTTTTTGGCTCCTTGGGGACTCTTGAAGTTTTGTTTGGAAGGTTGTGCTTAGATTTCCATTTGTTTGTGTATGAAATATGGTTTTAAAGTTAAATTGAAGCCTCATTTAGCTTGATTGTTTGAATTTCAGATTAAATATAGTGAGAAATCTTTTATGTATGTAAATTGACTCTGGACTACCTAGTTACTTGTGTGAAATTAAAATTATTTTTGATGTGTGATTGTAGATGATGGGGCGGGATCATTGCGTAATGGTTGTTGTAGAAAAGAGCCCCCCTGGATTGTCTTTGAAGTTTCTGGAACCATCAACCTTTCATCTTACTTGAAGGTGTCATCTTACAAGACCATTGATGGACGTGGCCAAAGGATAAAACTCACGGGGAAGGGTTTGAGGGTGAAGGAATGTGAATGTTACAATATGCAATCTGGAATTTGAAGGTGGTAGAGAATCGGGTGACGATGGGATTCAAATAAAACCCAACTCCAAACACAAATGGATAGATCGTTGCAGCCTTCGTGATTATGGTGATGGATTGATAGATATCACTCGAGAAAGCACAGACATTACTGTTTCTAGGTATGGTTTATTATATTCAGGAAAGTAATTAATCATCGTTTGGGATTAGGTTAAAAAGTTACACTAATTGATATCATTACCTAGGTTCTCAGGTGTCACTTTTCACAGCATGACAAGACGATGCTTATTGGAGCAGACCCCTCTAATGCCAGTGATAGGTGTATCCAAGTAACCATTCACCATTGCTTTTTTGATGGGACTCGGCTACAGCATCCTCGTGTTACATTTGGGAAGGTACGTTTGTACAATAACGACACTAGAAACAGGGGCATTTATGCTGTTTGTGCCAATGTGGAATCCCAGGTGACACTTGTTTTTTTGCTTTCATTATTTCAACCTCTTATGTGTTACTTGGAAAAAGATAACAGTTTTGTTTACCATTTGACATCAGATATACTCTCAACGCAATATATATGAAGCAGGGCAGAAGAAGGTGGCTTTCAAGTACCTTACTGAAAAGGCATCTCATCTTGATTTGCTTGTATTTCTGAAATCTTTTATTTTTCCGAAAATACTCAATTTATCCATATCCATATTGGCATATAGCCATTGATGGTTAACTGATAGAAAACATCGGTCGATGTATTGGTTATACAGGCTACTGACACGGATGAGGCTTGCAGTGGCTGCATAAAGTCGGAAGGGGATTTGCTTATAGCAGGAACCCAAGCAGGGTTGATGACTGAGAATGTTATGTCCAACTTGTTTCATCCAAGTGAATACTACTCTAAATGGACAGTGGAAGCTCCGACAGATGCCCTTAAACATGTTATTCAGCACCATACAGGATGGCAGTCTGTTCCTCGACCGGCTGAAATAGCCTCGTAGCTTCTTCGCTGCTGCAATAACCTTAGTATCCTACTGCAAATGTAGTTGTATGGCATAAATAGAATCCATAATATATTTTCTTACAATGATAGGACATAATGATAGTAACTTCTATAAAATATTATGTTACAATAATTTATATATGGTCTTCTAGCTTTTCTTTTAGGAGGATATGTTCTGTAGAACATATATAGCTATTATAGGATCGCAATTGGCTACAATTCTGTATGAGTTTGGAAGTTCAAACAGAGCCGCCAAAGTTGGATTATTAAAAATAAAAAAAAAAATTCAAGAGAATGAATAATTAGGGTTGAAATTGAAATCTCCCCAGACAAATAAAATGTTACGCTGTTGCTTGCGACCCGGCATTTTAAAGGTCATGTAATTTTGAAAAATTTTAAAAATTATGCACACTGACAATTTTGAAATCAGCTCATTCGAATCTTCTTTTCTGTTTTTCACTGTATCAGAGGCAGTTTTTATTTGACCGGCAATTTCTACTCAGCGGAAATTTCATACTTTCACCTTTGATGTAATTTTTTTTTTTTGTCTTACTCTAAAATTTCATCCAAAGTCCAGCGGTTCAGCTAGCGTTTTATTAGTAGTTCATTCGACTATTGGCAGTTTTGATAAAAGATTTTGACACAAACGAAATTATATGCTCAGTTGTAAATAAACAGATGAGGAACGGCTATCATGTAAATAACACATAAAGAAGCCGTTAAAACTTAAAAGATCGTTATGACTACCACAAAAAGGTCGTCGATTTTTTATAATTACAAAAGATCCACAAATTTTTTCATACATTTAAAAAAACAAAAATCTACGCTCGTAACGGTGACCTTATGTGCCATCTATGGTGAGATGACGTGGAAGAAGACGTTGATGAAGTCCCGGAACTAACTGTCCCAAAGAACAAATCCGACAAGTATTTCCCTACATCTTCTGGGGAAAATCTGACAATCACGCCCCTTTCATCTCCAACTGTTGATTTATGCGTATCGTAAAACTCCCGATATACGGCGTCAAGTTTTCTCCCGATCGAATCTTTAATCTTGTCTCGTAACTTTGGGTCGGGTACGACGCAAGAGCTCTGCTTCCAGTACGCATCTTCAAAGCTTGAATTAAATTTCCTGAAATTTTCTTTAATTTCCCCCGGTGTCATCGAAGCCGTCGGGTTCTCCGGTAATGCAGCGAATACGTGGCCCCACGCTAACCGCTCGTAATTCGCTGCGAACTGCTTCACCTTAACTTCATGTTTGGCGGTCCATTCCTCACCGAGTAAACACTGGAGATTCGATGTACGGACTCTGGAGATTACTTGGTGGAGATTGTTGGCTAAGAATAGGTATGATAATGAGACATCTTTGTAATGCTTTGCTTTGCCGTCGAGTTTGCAGAGAAGGACGAGGATTAGCCATGCAATGCGGACGGAGATGGCCGGCGACGGAGATTCGTCGGAATCCGGACTGTTGAAGTCAGATCCCTCCAACGATGATTTCGCAGGCGGTGGCCAGTCCGAGACAATGTCAGTGAGGATGTTGCTGTAATCAGCCATGAGAGTGAGGTAATTCATCGAGTAGATCGTTAGAGGATGCACACCGCCGCCTGGAATCATCGCTTTGGACGAGTCCTTTTGGATTGTGGACTCAAAATCCGTCAACAAAGACCGCACTGACTCGCTGAGTCGAATCAGCGAGTTAAGAGCTTGTAATCGGACGGTTAAAGTTGATTCAAAAGAAAAGATCGTTTGAATCTCTCGCCAGTTCTCTGAAATAGCGGTGTACATATCGAGAACACGGAACATTTTCTCCGGTGGCGATTTTTTGGACTTGGCGACGAGTTCGGGGAATCCAAACAGAAGCGAGGCACCTTCTTTTGAAATCTCGGTAAAGCAAGACTCTCTGATGGAATCCGACGAAGCAAAGACGTGATCGCAGAGGATTCTTTCTCCATTGAAAAGCATCCTCATAGAAACTTTCAGGGCTTCTAACCAGTTCCTGATTTTCAAATCCAGTACATCCCAGTCCATTTTATTAACCTGGGACGAGCTTGTTTTTTCGATTCCAAGCTTATAAATACCTTCATCTATAATCGATTTTCGAATAATTTTATAAATTTGTATGCATTCTTTAGCGTACCCGGAAGCAATCATGCAATCCGCTATCAATTTCAGATCGGACATGGCCATAGAAGAAACTTCTTCCACTTCAGAGATGGAATCCCCTGCGGTAGTAATCCCATCGTCCGGTGAACCGTCATCTTCGAAATCGGACATGCTTGATCTCGCGGAGGTCCGTGATGATCGGGTGGAAACCGATTCCGGATCCAAATGAGCCCGGTTCATTGATAAAATCTGGTAGAACTCTTTTTGAAGCCTCTTCATTGCTATTTGCATCAAATGTTGAGCTTGAATGAGCTTTTCCGAACCGGAATCTTCAGTAACTAACAAATGCATGAGTTTTTGAAGCTCGTTAACGGATCTTATAAACAGCATGGCTTCTCTTTTGCTTTGGTAGAAAAGAGAGGTCACTCTAGCGTAAGCAGACGTTTCAGCATCCCACTTCATGATGATAGTAGCCGCCGCATCAATGGTTTGCTCGATCATGGATTCTAAAAATCTACGGCGAGGAATACTGGATTGCGAGGATCTTGAGGGTGACATGGTTTGCCCAGAGTTAGAAAACGACGGCGTTCTGGTGCTGAAGCAAAGGCTCCTCATTCCTTTTCTCGGCATTATTTGAGTTCGTAAAGAGGTAAGTGTTTGAAACTACTTTTGTTCGGTTTTCGCCGGCGGCAGCAGATGACAATAAGAAATTGGAATTTTGAGTTTCAACTGCTTCAGCTTCCTCTTGTTTGGGGAGTCTGTTTGAGTTCAAATGAAGGTGAGAAATATATATAGACGTTGGATGAACGACGCCGTTAATAGCGGTCGTGTTCGTTAAACAATTTTATAGATTATTTTAATTCGGTTTATTTGATAGGGCAAGTAATACAAGTTGACCACTTATTCAAATGTTGAAAAATATTAGTAATTTATTTACATGAATGTTTTGACTCGAGAACTCTAAAGCCCAATATCAAGTCGAGGTAAGCTAAGCTGTGACGATCGACACATTAGATATCAAAACAAAAGCACGTAAGCATATATATCATGAATTTCATCATATGTTCAAAATATAGTCTAATTCAATAATTTTCTTGGAAAAAAAGCCACAAGCTTATGGGGCAAGAAAGAAAACACGTTTAAGAAAAGTATAAAACATTTTTCCCACGTATCTTTTTTTTTTAAAAAAAAATTTGACAATATAACTAAATATATCTCGAATTTTGCCAAAATTTAATTCTCTTCCAATAAATTTTACAAAAGCACTATCACATATAATTTTTGTTATACTATTAACTTATAATTTAAAAATTAATAAAAGTTGAGATTGATTCGGTGGAAAAATTTTATAAAAAAAGTTTTATCTATTTTTAGTTAAAATAAATTAACTTTTTTTGGTATCATGACGGGGATCCATGTCATGGTTTTGATCTCAACCTAATTAATCATAATAATATCAATTTAATTTAGCTTTAAACAAGGGCAAATGCATGCAATTTGAACAAGATTTTCAACTTTTCAATTTCTTTACATGAAATCTTAATGATTTTAAGCTAAGCATACCCTAGAAACATTATTGACTTATAACCCTATATATAGTCCAATTAATGACTTTTTTTTTTAATTTTTAAAATTTCTTCTTCAAACTATCAAACGTGCGGTGCCATTTTGTTACGACCAAGTCAAATATTAACATCCTAAAAAATAATTAAATTAGTAATATTATTGCTTGAATTATATATTACCAACTAAAGTTGGAAAATAGTGCCATTTGACAAAAAAAAATTCGAGCAATCTGAGGCACAATTTTCGTCAATCCCATAGTTCCCAATGCAAGCCGTATGCCTTCATTTATTATTAATTTATTTTCTTGAAGTTTTTAGGGGGAAAAAATTTAGTATAGAGAAAAGATTCTCTCTATTACTTAAAAAATTATGTAAATTTTTTTTTACTTTATTAAAAAATAAGTAGTGCACTTTTAATTAAATCTATGATTAATTTGTTTAAATTATTTTTTAATTAATTTTTATTTGTCTTTATATTTAACTTAAAATTATTAAAATTTTAACCAATAATTTATAATTAATGTTTTGATAAAATAGTAATTATAAAATCGTTTACAATTTTCTTTGTCATGAACAATTAAATATTATTTTAAAGGTATAAAACTGAAATGATCGAATTAATGATGAAAATTTTATAATTAATTAAGTTAAGAGGAGTTGGCAATAATTCTGGGGTCCGGTCTCTAGACTTTTGACCGCTGGGATTGCTATTGCCTCATTTTAATTCCACCTAACCTAAAAATCAGGACGAAATTAAAGACTTTGCAATATATTGTGGACTTTTTGGCATGAAAAAAATCTTAACATTAATTAAACCCATTTTAGTCTTTCAGGACGGCTTTAATTTGTGGCATGGAATAATTTACCAGGTCAACCTCCCGGGCCCTGCTAGGACCATTTAATTTTAATTAGAGCTGTAGTAATTTTTAATTTTTTTAGTTTTTCTTTTATTACTAATATTTGTTTCTCTTATTGTACAATTCCGATTTAATATTGCTGTACAATTATAATTTCAAACGTATGAATCAATAATTAAATTGTGAATATTCATACGTAATTTATGAGATATTATTTATTTTGATTCAAAATTTTTATAAATTTTTTATAAAATATAATTCACAAATTTTAAATTTAAACTTTTATTTAAATATTATAATAAATCTTCAAAATCTTTCGATGTGAGATAAGAGTATTATAAAAAATTTTCGTTAAACTTAATATTCCTATCAAGCTTAACATAAAAGCACTTAGATCTATCCAATCATATCTAATATTAGGCAAATCCAATACAAATCATAGGATCATATTATATATTGAGATTTTATAAATAGTTCTTATCATATAATGCTTAACTTTTATATGATTTTAAATGTGACTCTCAAATATAGTTTTCATTGTATAACACTTAATTATTACAAAATTTTAAAAATAATTCTCACGACATAGTACTTAATTTTTATCCGATTGATAACTGCTCTGATATCATTTATAAAAATTCACACTTAACATACGAAATATTATCTATTTTTATTCGAAAAGAAAGCTAGAAGACAGAAAGTTGCTTCATGAGCCACTCTCCTCTATACGATATCTCTTTAGTAGCAAGAAGAGGGACTACTGGGCTAGGCCGGCAGTTCAACCGCTCGCCCTAAGGCTTCATTGACGAGGAATGAAAGCAAAAGGAGGGGCAGCCCCAGCACTCGAAGGAAAAGCAGAACACAAGGCAAATGGAGATCTTGAAAGACAAAGGAGATAAGAGGGATTGTCCCCAGCCTTTACTTCTTTATCTACGTACGCTATTTTACGATAGGGATGGGGAATAGAAAGGGTTCACAATTTTAACTCACAAAAAGTATTTTATAAATATTTTTATTTAAATCACTATTTATATATCATAATAGATTTATAAAATATTTTAATATAAGATTGAAAATTTACACAAATTAATAATAGAATCAAGAAAAATATTAAGCCAGTTATATATATTTTCCAATTTTCAAGATGTTTATTTTCTTGCTACTCTTTAATTGGATTATTATAACATTAATAAATAAAAATAAAAACTGGTGACTTTGATAGATTTGAACAAAAGATATAATTAAAAGAGAAATTATTAAATATATAAGAGTGAAGTTTTTAACTTCACATATTATATTAAGATTATGATAAATGTTTTTTATATATTTAAAAAATTAATTTTAAAAAATAAAATACGTTTTATTATTTTAATTTTGATTGTGAAGTTAAAAAATTTTACCATAAATGTATCAAATAATTTCTCAAAAAAAAAAAAAAAAACCTACTTAATCAAATCTTGGAAAGATATTGTTGTAATATAAGGCTCCGTTTGATATAAACAAGATTGAAAGGTCTTGGTTGGTTTTAATTAATCAAGTTGACCCTTTTAATATGAAAGATACATATCTAAGAGGACAAACAGAAACCACAAAAATAAATAAATATAATTTTTTGGTCAAATTAACCAAAACAAATGAATTACTAGTCCAATTAAACAATAAAATAGTTTAACTGAATACTAAAAGAGATAACACTGATTTATGTTGATAATGGAGGCATAATTAAAAAAAATACTAATCAATTAGTTTATGATCAATCAAGGGCAGTTTTCATAACTTCTCATCAATTAATTTGATATCTCAACTAAGTATTAACTTAAATAAGATGTTGTGTTAGATAAATTTCTGAAAATTAGATTTAAAAAAATTTAAGTGTATAATATTTGTTTAGGTGTCATTTTAAAAAAAAATTTAGAAAAATATCATTGTCAATGCCCTGACACCACAAAATAATCGGCAATCACATTAATATCATGACAAAAGAAAATCTATGTGGTTGTCATGAAAATTTCCCTTGACGGTCACTAGCATTACAAAATTAAATATTGCTTAATTTTTGCTTTCAACGTTCAACACTCAAATAATGATTGATTCTAAAGCATACGTTTGTGTAAGAGAAACCATACATGCACATATTTTCAATCAATATTCTTGCGTGTCTGAATCATGTATCTTGTCAAAATTAAATTATTCATTCCCGAATTTACAAGCATTCTCTTTTATGTACACCCATTAAAGTAACATCAATTATTCGTAAACAAACTCTGATCAATCCAATGAACCGATAAAATATACTAATTGGTACCTTTTATATTGAAATTGCAAATAAAAATGGAGGTATTTCATTTATAATTTTTTATTATAAATTTGTTATTATTTAATTCTAATAAATAAATAAAATTTTATTATTTATAAATGTAAATTTTATATTTACTTTTATATGATTTTAAATTATAATATAATAATTATAAATAATTTGCTTAAAAAAAAAAAAAAACTACTCTACTGGCACTGTCTGTAATATGGCTGATAGGGTCGTACGGTTCATGCACGAGCAAGCATATGCCAACAGAAACTGACAATCGTTTGGTCCTCCTAACCTGAAAAGAAACTTTTGTTTGCTCTGTTGATTTTTTTTTTTTCCAGTTCAGACTATTAAACTAATTTATCTGTCTTTAGGTTTGCTCTATAAATCTCTTTTATTAGTAAAAGTGATAATGCTTCGTATCGATTTGATTCGATTTATTTAAATATTATATAATATTATAAAATTTTAAAATGTAATTTAAATTTAAATTGAATATTTATACGTTTGAATTAAATTAAATTTTATTAATTTGATTTATAAGTTTTTAAAATTAAAATTAAAATTAAAAATTTTAATATATTTAATTAAAATTTGATATAAAATTATTATTTTTATTTTATTAAAATTAAAATATATATAATTTGGTTAAACTTAATTTTATTTTAAAATTTTCACATTTTAATTTAAAATTTGATCTTAATTTAATATATATTTTTAATATTTAAATTTAATTTAAATCAAATAAAAAATTAATTCAAATCAAATCAAATATTATAATTTCAAATCAATTTTTAATTTTATTTTATTTTTTTATTCCTATTAGCTAGGGTCGTGACCAAGCTTTATGGTAATTTTCTGTCACTTGATTTAAATATTTAATTTTTTATTTGTACTGGCCAAATAGATATATTTTTTTATAAAAAAAAGCTATACTTTAAGAAAAAAAATTTAAAATTTAAAATTTATTAAACATTTATTTTAAAAATAATTACATAAAAATTAAAAATTAAATTTCTTTCACACATTCTTTTAACACCTAATTCTTTAATGAATAATTGAATACGAGTTCAATTTCAAATTCTTAATACACGTACTAAAGATTATATATTAGCGTTTAATAT